AATACTACCAAGAAATTTAATTTGGAAGTTTTCTTGGCTCCAGCGTTACCACCGCCTGCTCACTGCAGGGGGATTTGCCCTTTTTGTTTAATTTTTATTTTCCAAAAGCACTTAGCCCCTGGCTGCAGAACAGAGAATTTCCCTCCATGACAGCCATCCCCTTGCCCACCCCCCAAAAAAAACATAAGCTCTAACAAACAAAATGCTACCCCACACAAACAATTCTCCTTAGTCCTTAGAATAGATTAAAGCAGTGATTCTCAACAAGGGTGTGCGGAGTGCCATGCAACGTTAGCATTGTTAGGAGTGCAAACAAGGTTCATAAGATAAACCCAGAAATTTCAAAAAGGTGTTAAAAAATAGTTTAAGAATTTCTGACCCTTCTGAGATGGTTGCAAAAGAAGAATTGCTCTATTATCTTTTCATAGCCAAAACAGAAGTGAAAGCTATGAGCTGGCATTTCCTGAGGGATGACTTAAATCTGAAACACTGGACTAACGTAATAGATATTAGTTGTATCGCGTAATGTTGTAGTGTAAGGTTCTTATGTAGTAAAGTTGGTAAGGATAGTATAAGAATCCGTATAGACTAGCACTGAATATTTGAATTTGCCCATTAGCTAGAATAATCTCACAGTAAATTAAATGTGATTAGGGGTGTGCGGGTACAGATAATTTAGAGCAGCGGTTTCATAACCTTTTTGGACTCAAGGCAACCCTCACTGGATTTGAAGCATCACTCCATAACTTATGTGAATTGAGTGGCACCTAGTTTTCAAGAACAATTTATATATTGCAGTGCTTATTGCCTTGTAGAGGGGCCAGGCAGTGGGGGTGGCAAGTTGACCAGGAAGGGACAAGCCTAAGCGCTAATCGGTGTATATGCTTAGACCTCACAAAAATCTCCTCACATCCCATGGCACCTTTCAATTGATCTGGGAGCACCCCAGACTTGGGGTAAGAAAGAATCACTGGCTTAGGGTAACAAACTCAGCTGAGAGGGATGTTTTCCTCTGCCAGTCAGCCTAGTTTATTTGACATGTATTTTGTCAAAACCCATTGTTTAGATGTGTGTCCTTAGAGGAGAGTGTCCGTGGCAAGCTTTAAATTGAAAAAATAATGTTTAGTTGTCCAAGCATAAAAAAGATCTGAAAGAGATCCTAGCAGGTGAAAAACTACTTTTTCAGCTCTGGGATGTGATGGTGAGAATTTGGCCAGAGTTCTTTAAAAAAAAATAAATAAATCACTCTTGGACTGATAGCAAGCACTAGAAATTTGAGCCCAAGGGTAACTTTCTGTAAATACCACATTTACCCATATCCAAGATGACCCCTCCCCCCCTCCCAATAATTAGATTCTATACATGCAAAATTATACATTTGTGAATTAGACTCTAATTAGTGGAAGGCTGTCTTAAATTTGTGCCCCCACTGCTGTGGTGAGGAAAGCAGCAGTGGGGAGTAAGGGACCAACCCCCCCATCCCTTGCTCCCCTTGTACCTCTGTGCCTGTCCCTTTGCTGCCTGCATCCCCTTTTGTGTCCCCTGCCACCTCCCCCTCCATGCCTATGCCTGCCCTTTGCTGCTTGCCCCTGCTTTGCCCCTTGTGCCTGCCCCTATCTCCCCCCATCCCTGCCAATCCCCCCTTCACCTTCTCCTGCAGCTCTGTTCCTCTGGGGCAGTCAGCAGCACGGCAGCTCCAGGCCAGGCAGGGTTGTGGCTGGAGGGACTGAAGGCAGAGCAGAAGGTAAGGTGTGGAGGAGGTAGTGGTTGGAGAGAGAAAGGGTACAGGATCCCCACCATACACCCTGCAGTCTCCCCCATGTTCCCTCCCCCTGGCCATGTGCCCCCTTTCCTGCCAAGCAAGCCATTCCAGCCCAGGGCAGGCTCAGCTTTCTATCAGTTTATGCATATGTATGCAAGTAAAAGAAATGTATTTTTGTTTGCAGAAATAGTTATAACATTACTGCTATACCATTTCCTACATAGCGTGCTCATTTTGCAACGTTACCCTCAAGCTAATGTGCTAGAATCTAGGACTGCCCGTACCATTTTTTGTTACGTGTTGCACAGCGCTCTTGGCTAATCAAGCTGATTGATTAAAACATTCCATTTCAGAACTACAAGCGTCATATGGATGGCATGTACGGGCCCCCAGCAAAACGCCACGAAGGAGAAATGTATAACATGCAGTATGGCAACCAGCAGCAAGAAATGTATAACCAGTACAGCAACACTTACTCTGGACCAGACAGGAGGCCTATGCAGGGACAGTATCCATATCCATATAACAGGGAGAGGATGCAGGGCCCAGGACAAATACAGCAGCATGGAATACCACCCCAAATGATAGGCGGCCCCATGCAGTCATCATCCACCAGTGAAGGTCCTCAGCAAAACATGTGGCCAACCCGAAATGATATGCCTTACCCTTACCAGAACAGGCAAGGCCCTGGAGGCCCCACACAGGCCCCACCCTATCCAGGGATGAATCGCACTGATGATATGATGGTACCTGATCAGAGGATAAACCATGAGAGTCAGTGGCCTTCTCATGTCAACCAACGTCAGCCTTCTTATATGTCATCCTCAGCCTCCATGCAGCCTATCACTCGACCTCCTCAGTCGTCCTACCAGACACCACCCTCAATGCCAAACCACATCTCTAGGGCTCCAAGTCCAGCATCTTTCCAGCGCTCTTTGGAGAATCGTATGTCTCCAAGCAAGTCTCCTTTCCTACCCTCTATGAAGATGCAAAAGGTTATGCCCACAGTTCCAGTATCACAGGTCACAGGTCCTCCACCCCAGCCACCACCCATTAGGCGAGAAATTACCTTCCCTCCAGGCTCTGTAGAAGCATCGCAGCCAGTCTTAAAACCAAGACGAAAGATTACCTCAAAAGATATTGGTGAGCATCCAACAAATGCAGAAATAGAAATACAGAACCTGGTTTCAGTTCTGATTTCTTTTCTTTTTTTCCCCTATTTTGAGTTTATGACCTTGCTTTGAAAGATAAACTCTGGTAAATGTACAGTGATTATGTTCTGTTAAACCATGATAGCACCAAAACACTCTTGTATAGCATGGGCGGTTATCCCACATGTCAGATATAACCCAAGAAATGCAGCATGGGATTTCAGCAGCTTGGAACAAAAGGAGCGTTATGTGTTGAGACCAAGTCAGTCGTCTTGAGACCGGTAGTCCTCATAGTTCTGTGTTTGTATTAAAGATCAGGGCAGCTTCAGGCTCTCAAATTTCACGTTACCCACTGTTCCAATATCCATGCCAAATGACCAGTGTATTTATTAGCTGATTAGCTGAAAATTGGAACATTGTATGAGAAACATACCAGACACAGTATCACTGCATCATTTCTTTATGCTCACCCAACTTCATAGTTTCATAGTTGGTAGGATCGGAAGGAACCTAAGCAGATCATCTAGTCCAACCCCCTGCCGTGGGCAGGAAAGGATGCTGGGCTCAAATGACCCCAGCTGGGTGGCTGTCTAGCCTCTTTTTGAAGACCCCCAGGGTAAGGGAAAGCACCACTTCCCTTAGAAGTTGGTTCCAGCTCCTAGCCACCCTGACTGTGAAGTAGTGCCTCCTGATGTCTAGCCTGAATCTACTCTCAGTCAACTTATGACCGTTGTTCCTTGTTACCCCCAGTAGTGCTTGGGGAAACAGAGACTCTCCCTTTGCCTGCTGGTCCCCGTTGGCAAGTTTATAGGCAGCCACCAGATCCCCCCTCAGCCTTCTCTTGTGGAGGCTGAACAGGCTCAGGTCCCGTAGCCTCTCCTCATAGGGCCTGTCTTGCTGCCCCCAGTCATGCGAGTGGCCCTCCTCTGGACCCTCTCAATGCTGTTCACATCCCTCCTGAAGTGCGGCACCCAGAACTGGACACAGTACTCCAGCTGTGCCCTGACCAGTGTCGCACAGAGGTGGAGAGTCACCTCCTTGGACCTGCTCGTGATGCATCTATGGATGCATGACAAAGTGCGATTAGCCTTCCTGACTGTGTCCCCATATTGGCGGCCCATGTTCATCTTGGAATCAGTAGTGATTCCAAGATCCTTCTCTGCCTCTGTGCATTAAATAACCTTTTGCTCATTCCAATACATCTGCTCTTGAAAATCAGAACTTTATTTTTTTTTTCTCCACAATTTTCCCAATTTTCTTTCTTTCTCTGAGTGTTACAATTACCCCACTACAGGTGCTCAAGTTTCCACTTTTCCTTTGGTCCCATCTCATTGGTTTTATTGTGGCTTATTTGTCCCATTTTATCCTGGTGATAGACTTACGTAAGTCAGCTCCTCCAAGATGCAGCTTCCATCATATTTGTCCCCTCAGCCAACCTGAGTTATCTGCACAGCAACCACTGCACTACGTGACTTTGAATACTTTAATCATATGTGATCTCTATCTCTGCAGTGTGCTAAACCAATTAAATACAATTCAGTTGGGATAAGGTGCCCCCAGCCTTCCTTCCAGCTGTCACCCCAAGAGAAGAGTAAAGGTCTGAGATTAAAAGAGAATTATGTGTCTTGTTGGTGGACCTTTTGGTTTGTTGATTTTGTTTCTTAGATTTTTCAAGTACTCAAATATTAGAAAGACTGTTTCAGCATAGGCAAAGGCAGGAAAAAGTGTTATTCAGACACCCCTAGAAACAGTAGCTTTCTGGCTTTACTTTTTGCCATTATGCCAGAAGAACAGCTGGACTCCACAGTTGAAGCAGTAATGCTCAGTGCTAGTTTCAAATCTGAGCGCACCATCTTTAGCAGATGAGCTTGCTTGTATTCTGTAAACCTAGCGTGACATAAGTCTTGTCTTGAACTCATGCAAGCATCCTCCAGTACAAGTGACACTTACTTTTCTTCCTTCTCTCATTCTCCAGTAACTCCTGAAGCCTGGCGAGTGATGATGTCTCTAAAATCTGGCCTTTTGGCTGAAAGTACCTGGGCTCTAGACACAATTAATATTCTTCTGTATGATGACAGCACTGTTGCTACTTTCAACCTCTCTCAGGTAGGTAAAATGGCATTTTACCATTTCTCAAACAAATGAGGGCAAAAAACTGCTTTGAGGGACACAAAAATTTAGATCTCTTAACGTTAATTATCATTTTCAAATTAAAAGTTTCCTTGACACGTTTTACTGATCTGAGTATAATAAATAGCAAGAAAAGTCTATATTTATATAAAACGGGGAGGGGGGGGATAAACTTTAAAGGAGGGTATCCCTTGTGAAAAGGAGCATTTATGGGATTTGAATATTTCAGGAGTGGAAGAAAGCAAATGTTCACAAGCAGAAATTCATAAAAGTAGTGTGGCAAGAATTAAAGTATTAGTGGGAGGTCCACAAAACTGGATATGAAATTGTTTTGAAATAATCTTTGAGTTATTGCATATGAGTTCTGTGTGAGATGCACTGAAAATGTATATTGGCTGGTCCAGCAATAGGCATACTAGGGTGCCATGTGTTTTTAACTGCATGTTAAAAAAATGGTGAATTAAGTTTTCACCAAAGGTGTCAGAATGATAAGTAGATGGCTAAAACTCACCGTTTATCCATAGGGCACAAAGTTTAGGATGTAACAGTATAAGCTTTTCCTTTACTACCTCCCAATATTGCTTCACTTGGCTCAAATAGGATTGCCTTTACAGTAAGGGTAACAGATACAGTGGTGATGAACATAATACAAAAATGATATCATAGCAGGGCAGTGCCAAGGCACCCCAAAAAACAATTTATATCACCCTGTTCTAGGAGCAGACCGCCCTGCATTCACCCACCGTGCCTTTTTGTTAACTGCTATATGTAGAATGCAGGAGGCTGTCTTGATCTTACTAAGATGTCCTTGAACTTGTGGCCCCAGCTTCCCGGGCCAGTTGCACAGCTCCATGCCTCCCCTAAACTGTCCCATGCTTTGCAGATGGCATCCTACTTGTCTTATCTGGTTTATGCCCCCAACTGGTCTGCATTCTGACTCAGGCCCCTCAGGCCTCTCCACTTGTCTTAGGCCCCTCAACTTGGTTCAGGCCTCCTAGCTCTGCACAGGCCTCTTGGCTCCCCTCAAGCCTCTCAGCTCAACTCCAGTCAGACCTAGCTCAGTTCTGTTCAGGCCTAGGGAACCCTCATGGTCCATCTGATCTTCCTTGCCCCATGCTTGTCTGTCAAGGTATACTGCCCTAGCCTTTCCCCTCCATGGGGTAACACACAAGGCGATGGGTGCTGAGGCTTTCTGGCACCCCATCCTTGTCTTTCACTGGAGTGGTGCAGGTGTAGAATTTCCTGGAGACTGCCCCACCACAGGCAGCCGCACCATACCAACCAACTCCAGCGGGATGCAGTTTTCCATCTTACCCAGGACCAACTAATAGCCTTCCCTCATCTCCCTACCTTCTCTCATGGGCCTCCCTTAGGGGTTCTGCCCCTCTCCTGGTCTTCTGGCCCTAACTCCATCTCATGGCTGTATCTCTACTCTTGGCTCTAATCCTTGCTCAGTCCCCTTGCTCTCAAGCCCTCCTCCTCAGATAGCTCCCTCAGCCATTGTCATTCTAGCTGTATTGGCCCTGATTCCTACCTCTCAGCAGTGGCCCCCATCCAGGGACCTTCATACCTCTCCAGGCCCTGGCCCCACCAACAGGCCGGTCGGTGCACTAAGACCTCTGTAGCACTGGATACCCTTTGCAGTGGGTTTGCCCTTTTAGCCCCCTCCTGGGCCCTGGCCACAGCCTAGGCCAGTCAAGGTCCTTGAGACCAGCAAATTGGCTGTCAGCCCCCCTTAATCATGGGTCCAGCCAGGCACTCCCCAGCAGTCATGCGGCCCTCCTAATCTACCACGTCTGCCAGCTCCTGAGTTTGCTGACTCCCTAAGTAGGCCTGGCCGCACCTGCTAGAAGCTCCGCAGGTCTGCCCAACTCCTTATGGAGGCAGGCACCCTTGGTGCCCTGCTACGGATATACATAGACTAGAATATGGTTTTGTGTTTATGGCCAATGGTCTTTGTTATCTTTGCAGAGTTTACCAGTAGATAAGCTAGACTGAGGTTTTGATTTTTTGGTTTTAGGGTTTTTTTAATATAGGCGTAGGCCTCATAGAACTAAACTAAAACCTCCAGTTTCTTTCAGATAGAAGACCAGATAGTTATGACTCTTTTGATTACTATTTTTTTAGGTTAATTTGACCAGTGATCAAGATTGTGTCTGTCTGGTAATTTTATTATTGTGGGGTGTTTTTTTCTTTCAGGGTTTTTTTGTTTAGTTTTGTTTGGTTTTTTCTTTGTTGTTTTTCATTCGGTTTTTATTTTATTTTTTAAATCTTGAGGGCTTTGGAAACCTTGAGAGAAACATAGACTATGGACAAAAGTGTCAGTTCAAGAAAAGAAAACTGTAGATAAAATACAAATTGAATATAAACGAGGAATGCAAAGAAAAGTATATGTTTTCATGGTTAGTTATGCCACAGTTAAGACAACCATCAAAAACCAATTCATATGTAGCCCTCTAGGAACACAATCATTACACATTAGTCAAGAAGGTTAAACACAAATGGATACTGTTTTTGAGGGTGACTTACAGCACAGAAAACCACCCTCCAGGAACAGCTTCTTAATATGTAAGGACATAAAACTATTCTATTTGCCTTCACCACAAAACAGATCAATTCCCAAAATTAGTAGTTCCAGGCATTGGAAGGTTGATTTCAGAGACAATGAATAGTAGTAATTGTTATGGTTTGCACTATGCAAGGATCTAGCTGTATATAAAGAGAGGACAGAAATGAAGAATTTCTTTCAGGAGATGTTTACTGTTCAAGGCTTGGCTTTTAATAGTTTGCAAGATAAGTGAAAGTGTTTACAGAAGTATAATTGCAGCTCTTGACACAGATCCATGCAGTCTAAAATGTTTGTCTAATAATTCTTTGTGTGTTCTTACTTTTTTCCCCCTCAGTTATCTGGATTTCTTGAGCTTTTGGTGGAATATTTTAGAAAATGCCTGATTGACATTTTTGGAATCCTTACGGAATATGAAGTGGGAGATCCAGGAAAAAAAGCACTTGATCACAACACAGCCAAGAAAGATGACAGCCAGTCCTTAGCAGAGGACACTGTAAAAGAGGAGGATAATGATGAATGTATTAATTATTTTGATGATGAGGAGGAGGAAGAGGATGAAAAATCTGAAGGAGAAGAAAAGAGCATTGTTTTTTCCACTCCTGGTGCCATTGCTGATCCAAGTGAGAGGCCAAAACAAGCCAGTAAATTTGACAAGCTGCCAATAAAGATTGTAAAGAAAAATAATCTATTTGTTGTAGACCGATCTGACAAACTCGGACGTGTTCAGGAATTTGACAGTGGGCTCCTCCACTGGCAGCTTGGTGGGGGTGACACAACTGAACACATCCAGACTCATTTTGAAAGCAAGATGGAGATTCCTCCACGCAGGAAAGCACCTCCTCCCTTGAACTCTCCAAACAAAAAGAAGGATTTGGAGGGGAAAGGTGAATCTGAAGAACAACAGGAAAAAAGTATAACGGCCACCATTGATGATGTCCTCTCAGCTCGACCAGGAGCGTTGCCTGAAGACTCGAGCTCTGGTTCCCAGGCAGAGAGCAGTAAATTTCCCTTTGGAATCCATCAAGCCAAAAGCCACCGGAATATTAAACTGCTAGAGGATGAGCCAAGGAGCCGGGATGAGACTCCTCTATGCGCCATAACTCATTGGCAAGACTCCTTGGCCAAGCGCTGCATCTGTGTGTCAAATATTGTCCGTAGCTTGTCTTTTGTGCCTGGCAACGACGCCGAAATGTCCAAACATCCAGGCTTGGTGCTGATCTTGGGAAAGTTGATCCTTCTTCACCATGAGCATCCAGAAAGAAAGCGAGCACCACAGACATATGAGAAAGAGGACGAGGAGGACAAAGGGGTGGCCTGCAGCAAGGATGAGTGGTGGTGGGACTGCCTCGAAGTCTTGAGGGATAATACATTGGTCACGTTAGCCAACATTTCTGGACAGCTAGACTTGTCTGCTTACACAGAAAGCATCTGTTTGCCAATTTTGGATGGCTTGCTGCACTGGATGGTGTGCCCATCTGCAGAGGCACAGGATCCTTTTCCAACCGTGGGGCCCAACTCAGTCCTATCACCTCAAAGACTTGTGCTGGAGACCCTGTGTAAGCTCAGTATCCAGGACAATAATGTGGACCTTATCTTGGCCACTCCCCCATTCAGTCGTCAGGAGAAACTCTACGCTACTTTAGTTAGGTACGTTGGGGACCGCAAAAACCCAGTCTGCCGAGAAATGTCCATGGCTCTCTTATCAAACCTTGCACAGGGGGACACATTAGCGGCAAGGGCAATAGCTGTGCAGAAGGGAAGCATCGGAAACTTGATAAGCTTCCTGGAAGATGGGGTCACGATGGCCCAGTACCAGCAGAGCCAACATAACCTCATGCACATGCAGCCGCCTCCTCTGGAGCCACCTAGCGTAGACATGATGTGCAGGGCAGCCAAGGCCTTGCTGGCCATGGCTAGAGTGGACGAGAACCGTTCAGAGTTCCTATTACACGAGGGTCGTTTGCTGGATATCTCAATATCTGCTGTCCTGAACTCTCTGGTTGCATCTGTCATCTGTGATGTACTTTTTCAGATTGGGCAGTTATGACATAAGTGAGAAGCCAAGCATGTGTGAGTGGAGATTAGAGGGTCACATATAACTGGCTGTTTTCTGTTCTTGTTTATCCAGCGTAGGAAGAAGGAAAAAAAAATTGCTCCTCTGCCCCATTCACTATTTACCAATTGGGAATTAAAGAAATTATTAATTTGAACAGTTACGAAGTTAATATTTGCTGTCTATGTGTATAAGTGCATCTTTTTATTTTATTTTTTTTTAACCAAAGTTGCTGTCTAGTACATTCAAAGGTCACACTTTTTTTTTTCCATAGATTATCCTTTTCAATGTTCTTTTCCATGTTTGTATTGCATATTTTTTGGGAAGCGAACTAGTGACTTAAAAAAAAAAATGTTGTGGGAAATCATTGTACGATGGGGAAAGAAAATCTCACCACTTCGAAACGAAAAGGTGAAAAATAACCAACATACCAAGTTCCTGTGTGTTTTATTTTTTCAGATAAGGAAAAAGTTTTAAAAAACATGTAAACCATCACCCAAAGCTCTGTGCAATAGAAGATTCTAGTGATGTAGGTGTAGGGGATCAAGGAGGGTGTGAGTCAGTAGTCAAAATACAAAATGCTATTGGTTTCTCCACAGGAGAAATGGTTACATTAGGGTAGGAGCAAAATTTAAAAAAAATAAAAATTTTAAAGTTAAAAGATTTTAAATACAAACCTGACGATAAACGTAAATTGCTTCCTCACCAGAACTGTCTTGTCTGCATCTGTTGTTCGACCTTCCACAATGACAGTTCTTCACAATTCCTTTAATCATTTTTTAAATATTTTTTTATTGCCTAAGGGCCGTGATGTATATAGAAGTTGTACATTAAACATACCCTCATCTTTTTTTTTTTTTAAGTACAAAGTTTTTAGTTTCTTTTTCATGATGTGGTAACTACAAAGTGATGGTAGAATTATTTTTTTTCTTTCATTTTTGGGCCATATCTCCAAAAAAAAAAAAACTAAAAAAAAAAAAAAACCGAGGGTAATGTACAAGTTTCTGTATGTATAAAGTCATGCTCTATTTCGGGAGAGCAGCCGATCACAATTTGCTTTATAAATCAAGGTGTGGAAATGGTTACGTATGGATTGATCTAAGAAAAAGGTTACCAGTCTACAGACAAAAAAATATATACAGAAAAAAGGAAGAACAACTTCAAAGATTTTTCAGTGATGAGAATCCGCATTTGTATTTCAAGATAATGTAGTTAAAAAAGAAAAAAACTTGATGTAAATTCCTCCTTTTCCTCTGGCTTAATGAATATCATTTATTCAGTATAAAATCTTTATATGTTCCACATGTTAAGAATAAATGTACATTAAATCTTGTTAAGCACTGTGATGGGTGTTCTTGAATAATGTTCTAGCTTCAATGTGGGGTACCAGAAAAGAAACTAATTACAAAAAAGAGCAATAATGGTTACTCTCTTCTCCCTGCTTTGATTATTGTGATTTTTTTTTAATATTAATCTGTTGTTCAACTGATGTGGTAAATTACTCTCCTGTTGAAATACTTTTCTATCAGATCCCAGAGAATAGATTCAGATGATTATTTATAAAATAGAGAATCATGAAAGGAGAAAACGTGATTGCCTGATGACAGTTCTGACTATGAGTTATCCACTCTAATTGCTAAGTTCAGGGACCATAAACTGGATGTTAGAAAAAATGACACACAAGGTGTTTATTAAAGCAATAACCAGCGCAAAGAAATGGACCTGTATTCACTATCTGTAATTCTTTCTGTTGGTTCAAGGTGTGAGGCACCCCTGTTATGTGGGTATTCAAAATAAACACACGCCCACTCCTTGAAATAGTAGGTGTTATTGCATACCCAGAATGCTAATGTCTGCTCACCAGCCGAGCCCCTGTAATTCTTATTAGAGTGGATTTGGGGTTTCATAGAGCATGTTCATCATTACAATCGGTGGGAGATGGAATTTCAGGAATTGCCTGGTTTTAGATGCATCCACTATCTCACTGGTGATCATCTTGTTGGCAAATACTGTTCGAGCACTAATTTTTGCTGTTTCATTTTGGATCATTGGCTTTGTTAGTGTGACCATAAAAAGCTAATAATAATTTCTCTGGAACTACTGCATAATTACACTGTTAGTGGACATTCTCTTCCCCTCTCCAACGCAAAGGTACTTGAAAATACCCACCCCCTTCCCCCCATCATACTGCTCATCTTGTTCATATAGCTTGCTCTAACACACAAATATATGGAGGAGAGTTTCAAACAGACAGGTAAAGTATATACAATTATAATCCAAGTTTGAAATGTGACTCCCTAATGTCACAAAAAGTAATGTTTCATTCCAGCTTTTCTAGTGCAGTAATCTATCCACTCCCACATCACCTACGGTAATGGCCTCTCTTTCTCTTGCATAACAATGCATTCAGAAATATATGATGAATTATAACCCACTTGGAACTCTTCATCGCATAAGGAAGACATATTTAGGAGTTGATTATTCCGACAGGATGGTGGGAAGCAATAGTCAAGTCTTAATTCCTAGTAATGTTTTACTAAATGATAAAGGTAACTCTTAACTAAACCCTAACCTGATTTTTAAGCAGTCCTTTCCTTTAGAGGGAGTGGGTGGGTGTCTGCTGCGTGGTGAAAGAAGAAGGAGATATTCTACCCCTAGTCTTTTTTCCTCTTATATTTTCCACCTTTACTACCTTTTTGGGAGGACTGCACCAATGCAGAAAACACTCTAAATTAATGGTTGGTAACCTTTATAAGCCACAGGTCGGAACAACCCAGCTGCAATCCAGCACGGGCT